AAGACAAGTTGAAGTGTTGAACTGTGAAAATGATCCCCACTATTTTTGAACACCTGAATGGTCAAGATAGTTAGGGCATACTATCTTATTACCTTATCCCCTTTCAAAAAAAAATAAAAAAATCTTATTACCTTATCCAATATAGTCAAATAATAATAACGAATGCAAGAAATATAGACACAAAATGCAAGAAAGGAGTACATATGTAAAAGTCTGGATTAACGAATCTCGATGGATCGAATGAGATCAACTTCCATGCAATGTCTCCATCAAATTGATGATGATGAAGCAGGCAAAAAGCTTTGAGGATTTGTTTCACATGAAATATACCCACCCAGGGTACTGTATGTGCTGGATCATCAATCAATTTCACCACGGGAAGCATAGGGATGTTAGATCTGCCACCTTCTCGATCCATCTGTGCGGTCACTTTCAGTCTTCTTTCTGTCAAGCTTTACATGCATATATGCATTGCATGGCATTTTAATTTGCAATCGACATGTGTTTATTTTGCATTGACCACCTTCATTGTATTGTATTGAGTCTCCGTACGTGCATGCATGCATGCATGAGTCGTTGATGGTTCAGAGTCGGCAGCTTCATGCCGTCGCAGACGGCGGCTGCGCTTTCAGTGAGATATACTTCGAGAAGAAGATGCATGCTTCCTGACTTTCCATCAGGTTTTGGTTTCGTTTCAGCTGTGACATAGACGCTTTCGTTCGTTGACATATATAATTGTAAGTGTACAAATGATACACGTTAGACGCTTTTATGTTGGCTAATTTAATTGACAAAATAATCAGAATTTATATTGGAATTAACTTATGGACCATGGACCGTCTCCTATCAAAAGGTATGTCTTTATCCTCTACAGCATGAATTTATTCGGAGGTGTTCGAAATTATGAAGAAAATACTCATTATGAATATGATTGTTAATCAAGCTTGAAGAAATTAATCAAGTGGTCTTGGTTAATTGGTGTTAATAAATGAATTTATCTTTGCATGGATTTGTTACAGTTTGGCATTGAAGTGGTAAGTGAAAAAGTGTGGTGTGTATTATATTAGAAAATTAAAGTATGGTTTGATGATTGGATGAAGTTAGTATGGAAGTCAGTTTACACCTGGAATGAAGCATTCAAATTAAATATATGGCTATGGTTATTTGAAGGCTTTGGAGTGCTGATTATATGGATCACACCAAAGGGTTGCATACTGCTATAAAAGGAAGCATAAACAAAGTGGAAAGTTGTCATTTTTGTGAACTGCTATATTGAGTGAAATCTACACAAGTGCTATTTAAATTAATCAGCTAAATTATATTATTATTATTGTAGTTCAATTCTGGTCTGCACAGACAGTACCTGGTACAGCTGAAGCTTCACTTGAAGATTGCTATGGCATGCACGGTTCAGTCCTGAATAGGTGTTAGGAAGGGTTGTAGTGGTAAAGGATAATGGCCATTTGTACTTACCTCTTGTAATACTCCTTGGTAAACATCTATAGTGGATTGGACAGACGTGAGTTGCCCCGCAGACGTAGGAGAAGTGCTCCGAACTGCGTGATCAATCTCTGAGTACTTGTTTTATTTTTATGCTTTTATATTTCGTTATTTATGTTCATTAAATAACCTAATTAATTGATAATGCAATATCTCTTCTAAAAACAAGTAGAACATTAAAGGTGTAATTGAATTCAAGATTCACGGCACATTTTCAATAATCTATACTATAATTAAAAATAAAATCTTCTTTCCATGCATTCCGCCCAAACAATAGAAAAGGAAAAATTATTGAGTAAACAATAGAAAAGGAAAATAAAAAAATGATTGATAATTCACTAATTAATACCAATAATGTTAAAAGGAAAAATGAAAAAGTAAACAGAAAGGACAAAATGAAAAAGTAAATAGAATTAACTTACCTGGAAAAGGAAACGGAATTAACTTACTAGAAAACGAATAATAATAATAAGGTTACCAGTAAAAATGGAAAATCCTACCAAAACTTACTAATTAGTAATAATAAGGATTTGAAATTAACTTAATAATAATAAGGATCCGAAATTCAAGCACGCATATTGTTCAGGAAAATCCTACCAAAATTATCACTCCCTTCATTCCACACTGCTAGAATTTGGTCTAAATTATATATACAATTAACATATTATATATTTTTTTGAAAGAAAGGAGGAGAACATCCAAGAAGACCAAGCTCTCATTACGGAGAGATCAGAGCTCGTGATAAAGCTTGGAGATGTCTCGGAAAAGCATGTATCGTCAGTGTGATCCAAGGCGTTCCTTGCTAGGAGATCAGCCACCATGTTTTGTTCTCTGGGTGCATGTTCAAAGCCTAGCGTATCTCCCAGTCCCAGTTACGTTCATCGCAGTTTTGCACATGTCCACCAAGTTGCTGCCCAAGATTGCACATGTCTACCAACTTAGTGCATCTTCATCTTTGTTAAGAGGGCCAATCATCCATTTAAGAAGAGGTTCAACATCCAGCCAGGTATGAGGTATCTGGCCAGAAGCAGGTATCTTTCCCGTTCCTAACCACTGATCTCATACCCTTTTCTAGTATGGGAGCCGCTGCGCAGATGCCTTTCCAAACATTGGATTCATTCCTTCGTCTTTTCATGTTGGCAATGGAGGTTCCGCTCTTCATATATTTTTTTGAGATGACTTGGGACCAAAACCTTGTTTCCCTCTTTAAGGACTCTCCATCCCAGTTTGGCGAGGAGGAATTTATTCAGTGTCTGCATCGATTTTAGGCCAAGACCCCCTGCACTCTTGGGCAAAGTTACAGATTTCCAATTAACCAAGCTTGTTTTTTTGCTTGTACCGTAACCTCCCCACAAAAAATTCCTAGTAGCTTTGTACCGTAATACTCTCACATACCCCCTTAGGAACAACCATCATGGTATAGGCGGGGATAGCATTGAGGACGGACTAAATGTAGTACTGTCAAAGCGGGCCGGTCCGCTTCATTAGACCCGCCCATTGCGGGCTTAATTTTTTGCGGGCTTTTGTGAGCCAGCCCGCCCCGCGTGGGTTGGCGGGCTCTGCGGGTTGGCCCGTGATTTTTTTTAATGTTTAAAAATTTGTAAAATTAATATTTAAAAATTATATATATATATATATATATATATATATATATATATATATATATATATATATATATGCGTTACACATCAAGGCAGAATTCTGCCATGCTGTGTAACGTATATTTATTTATTTATTTTGTTTTTTGTAATAGGTCTAGCCCGCGGGTCGGCCCGCAGCCTGCATGGATTGCAGGTCAATTTTGACCCGCCCCATTAGGCCTGCATTTTCACGGGCCTATTTTTCTATGTTCCTAACTCGCCGACCACGGGGCGCAATCGTTATATCCTACACCACGGCGCGTGTAGCACTGTGTGCCGCGCGCCTCCCAAAATGACGTCGTTTTGAGAGGCACGGTAGGAAGTTGCTTTGATTATGTATATTTGTTCATACAATTATGTATATTTTTTTATTATGTACATTTTTTATACAATTATGTACATTTTTTTTTATACAATTATGTACATCTGAATCAGGAAATTTTTGTGTATTATGTTAAGAGTTGATGTGTATTATGTTAAAAGTTTATGTTTATTATGTATTATGTTAGATTATGTGTATTATCTTTTAAAAAACAGTATGTATATTTTGTTATACAATTATGTACATTCATGTATAACATTATGTACATTTTTGAACATGAAATTTTTTTTAAAGAAAATTAACCGCCAAACACTGGGTAGCGAAATTTCAAAAAAAAAAAAAAAATTGAAACGACGTCGTTTTACATCTAGGCGCACAATGCAACACGCGCCGTGGTGCAGGATATAAATTGTCTCACTGGGCGGGGTCGGGCCAACTCGTGAGCTTCGGCCCATTTTGACGGTATTGACTAAATGTATAGGCGGGCATAGTTTGCATGGTATACATATTATATATTTTCAATTGTAACTAAATGTACCTAATCTGTTAACTAAATGTATATATTTATTAATTATACATGTATAATTTGGATTAAGTTTCACAATACTCGTAGTGAATTGTGGTGCACGATATATCGTTAGGCAAGTTGGGTTGTTAGCATACATGGGCCGGAGAATATGGAACAATTTTGTCATTTTGAAGCGTGGTTGACAAGGCAACATGGGATAATATAATAGACTTGTGAAGTTGTAGTGATGATATAAGAATAATTGCATAGGAAAGAAACTATTAAAATAAACCTATTGAATTGAGATTTTGGAAATTGGGCAGCCTATAAAGCCAACTTCAATATTATTATTATTATTATTTTTTTTGAAAAATTTTTGCTGAAAGAAAGAAAATATTGAGGTATATATATATATATATATATATATATATATATATATATATTGAGAGCAAATAGAGGGCTCAGTAAACACATGTTTTATACAAAATTAATTTTATACACCACTTTTACTAAGACTCAACTTCATGACCTTTCATATATACATATCATTTGAACAGAAAGTATTTAGTATATAATTATTATTTTATAGACCATGATTCATATTATAAAGTGAAAAATATATTTTTAGGCTTTTAATAATATCTATAGTATTATTATTATTTCCTTATAATCGCTAAGTTCAATCATTATCTTTTTGTCATTTTTATTGGGTGACTCGTCTCGTTTCCTTAATCTTCACTCCTGTGGGCCGCCCAATTTCCAAAACCGCAATCCCATAGCTTTCCCGGTTTTTTTCAGTTTCTTTCCGGTGCAACCATCCTTATGCTATCCCAAATCATCTCGCCAATGTCGCCTTGCCACGTCAACAGACAAATTTCGAAATGACAGAATTACCCCACTACCCCCCAGCTGACAGAGTTTTGCAGTGTTGCTGATTCGCATGGTATCACTCCCTTCTACAGACATCGATAATGGATAAGGTTGCAGTGTATAAACATTATAATAAATTCCTTTTTTATTTTTCTTTTCCTTTTAAAAAGCTTTAGATTGTTTGGGTATTTAATAAGCTATGAAAATTCAATTAAAAAGTGATCATTTAGTGTAGTGTGAGAATTCTGGAAGTAGCCAGAAGAAGTAGAAGATCAAAGAACAGAGGGGAATCGGAAAAAAAAAGCCGGTTAATCGGCGATCATAGTGTCGGAGACTTGAAGATATTTTCTGGGGTTTTCATATTTTATTGTTTTTGTGGGAAAGTGGGGGGGCTTTATTACTTTTTGTATGAGAGTTGTTGGATTTTGATTGTTTCTGCTGAGAACATTGAGGAAAGCCATGGGTAGATCATTCAAGGATTCACTCAAAGCTCTGGAAGCTGATATTCAGCTCGCCAACACTATGTAAGCTCCCTGGTCTCTCTGGGTTTTCTTTTTTTGCTCTGGTATTGTTTGTCAATTTGAAGCTTTTAATGATAAATTCATGGATTTTCTGTTGTGGTGTTAAATTGTGTTTACAAAGATTGTTGGTTAGAGCAAAATTGTGGAGAAGTTGTGATTTTTAATTTATTTTGTTTTGCCCACTATAAGGTTGCTGAGATTGGCTTGAAAGAAGAGGGTTTCTGAAGAAATTGTTTATATGTTTTAAGTAGATTTTTATCTTAAAAAGCTGTTGTAGTCATGTAGAACTGTGGTTCAGTGAACTGGAGAGTTTCAGTTCTTGATAATTGAATTTGTGGGAGGAATTGGGGCCATACATGTTTTAGCCACTTTTTTGGAGGTATTGGCAATGGTGATCAATACAAATAAGATTCAGGCTTGGGAGGGATTGAGGAATTGTGTTAATGTAATTGTTTGATAAGGCAAAGTTTCATTTATGTTTGTGGCTTATTGTGTTTCCATCTCTATATCAGAGCATTAGGCCATCGCAGGGAGCTCGATGGAGCGTGTATTCAAATGAGACTGGCCTACAGTCCAGCTTCGCAATTCTGTCTTTTTCTCCTTCAATGGTTTGATTGTAAGGTTGCTGGTGCGCTTGGGCTGCTTGAAGTTCTTGTATATATGGTGAATCTCTCGTGATTTTGGTCGTTCTTTATGTTCTGTTCTTGTGATCCACGAGCAGAGTGAAATCTAGCTGGCATTATAGAATAAGATCGGTTTTTCGTGTTGCAGGCGTATGCTGATGGTAAAACGTCTATGTACATTAAGGAAAGGAGAGCCAGCATTCGAGAATTTTATGGTGAGTGAGGTTGGATCAAGAAAATGTAGTTGGATACTCTTCGTTATTCTATTGTTACCTTGTACTAATGATACTGCTTGTGGAGAACAGAGATAATTTTCCCGTCACTGCAAATCCAAAGAGGGATTACTGATTTCGATGAAATGAAACAGAAAGAAATATGTTCGCTCCGGTATTCGACCAAAGGGAAGCTTTCTGAAATTGAATTGGAAAGGGAAGCGGAATGTGGAATCTGCTTGGAACCTAATAGCAAAGTTGTTTTGCCAGACTGCAGGCATTCGCTCTGCTTAAGATGCTTCCAGGAATGGTAAGTCTTGCCGTGTCTTTTTATGCTTTTGGCACATGCCTTTACAACTGCATAGAGAGCGAAAATTAATCCGCTTGCCTTGGTAAAAATTGCACTAGTCATCCATTACCAAACAGAGCTTATAGCTTATTAGTAGCTTAAAATAAGATATAAGCTCTGCCAAATAGAGCCTTTGTAACAAATAATGATTACTAGTCATCTATTACCAAAACCACTATGCCGGATTTCACTCAACTGGTTTGCTTATTTCTTCAGGCGCAGCCGGTCTCAGTCATGCCCCTTTTGTCGAAGCAATCTCAGACGAGTAAACTCGGATGACCTTTGGGTATGCGTGGAGAAGAGTGAAACTGTGGAGCTACCTCTAATTTTAAGGGAGGACTGGAAGAGGCTGTATAGGTACATCGAAAATCTACCAATTATCCTCCCAGACCCGCGGTTCACTCCCTATGGTTCTCACCTTCGGTGAGGCAGCGAGAGTGGATTGAATTCTGTACATAATTTTCTCGTAAACAATATCAACAACAACAGCTTCACTATCCTGCTCTGTGAATCCCTGTTTCTATCTTTGCAGTTTCTCAAGTCATTTAGTTAGTAGTAATAGCTAGTCAAAACATTGATTTGCTGGTTCTTGAAATGTTGTTTTTTGTGGCCATTTCACTTTTGGGATTCTGTTGTGTCAGCACTGAAATGTACATAAATTCATATTTACAAAGGTTATGGTTGCAGTTCTGGCATGGGCCTCTCAAGAAAACACAAAACAACAATAGTTCTGACTTTAAATTAGATGTCTGGGAACAAAACAACAATGTACATGAACAACTAAACTTATGTTGATATACAGTTGTGATCAAGATCTGGGCATATTCATATATATACTATGAAGGAAGCAGAAAGGAGCTGAGATTCAAGTTTTGATCTTGAGCTTCTTGGTGATTTCTGCAGTGTACTTCCCTTGATGAAAGGCCTGTTGCAGTTCAAGTTGTGTGGGCTGACGAGATCCATCTGCTGCATATGTTCCAGCACCATAGCTGGACCCTCCTCTCACTTCATTCATCTCAAACATTCCACTCCCAAAAGTGTATCCAACAGGCACAAATATCATGCCATGATGTGCTAATTGTGTTATTGCTGTTAACCTGCATATAACGCGAATCAATCAAGTTGGTCAGATTGTTGATTTACAAATTTGACTTTCAGTAGAAGTGACATTCTTGATTTAAGGTTTTTACTTTCTCGTAATCGTTTACCACCTAAGGTTGCAAAGTAGGTCTACTTAGTAGTGACTAAAGTTTCTTCGTCACTAGAAAAATGAAAGAAAGAAAGACTTGCAAGAATAGCTCAATTGGTTCTTAAGTGATAAACTGTGAGCAGGACTCGAATCCTTTGACAATAGTGAAAGTTATACTCAACTTTTTGTGGGTCGGTTTTCTAAATTTTGCATTGTGTGGGCAAGAAAAGAAAAGGGAAGGAAGCAAATTAAAGAAAGAAGACTGACGCGGTAAGTTCTTGGCCGCCGCCATGGAAGCCGGTACTCCAGAAGATTCCGGCGGGCTTTCCGGCGAGAGCTTGAGTGGCCCATAAGGGGTGTGTGGCATCAAAGAAAGCCTTCATCTGAGCAGCCATCACCCCAAACCGAGAAGGGCTACCAAAGAGGAAGCCATCAGCCTCCAAAAGCTGTTCAGGCGAGATTACAGGAACATCATCGGCTTTCGGGTGACTCTTCATCTTCTCCAAAACCCTGTCGGGAAGGGTCTCAGGAACCTATATATTTTTCACACTCAAAATCGAATCCAAGAACACAGAAAACCCAATCCTGCGTTTAATTAAAGACTGAATCTTTAATTTAAGGCATTCAAAAAAAAAACCTGCCAAAGTGTTGCTTTGACGCCATCCACAGAATTCGCTCCCTTCTGTATCTCTCTTGCCATGGTCTCCACATGCCCGTACAGGGAGTAAAACCTGAATCAAAACCCAATTGCAGAAAGATTAAATCCATGGGGTTATAGTATGATCGGAACCTCCAATCAGGAAACTTACACTATATACACGTTTGTAGTGGCCATGGCGCAGTCTCGATCAGTGAAACCAGAGAACAACGCTAATCTATTTATAAATTTATATAATCTGTTGTGCCGGTGTTCTAACTTACCATTTTCTGAAAATATTACTTTATCTCTTCCGACATGCAGAGACAAAGACACTGCACCTAAAGTACATGTACCAGAAACGTGAGTTTGGTGAAACGGCAGAGAAAGCCTGCCCGTTTTTTAGTTTCGCCACGTAAGAAGGTTAGCCTTATCGTTTGAGTCGCTTCTTTTCTTTTGTATTCTTTGATATACATTAGATATTTTAATTTTTCTTACATGGCGTTTGGTTGGAAAGAAGGAAAGAATTATAGAGAAAAAAAATTGCAATTCGTTGAAGATAAATTAGAATTCAAATTACATTATTTAGTAGGGAGGAATAGAATTATTGCCATGACAAAAGAAGAACTGGTATAAAAATTAAAATGTCCTTGTGTAATAATAATACTAATAATAATTAAAGATAAAAAAGTCATTTTCCTCCCTTTTCGCTTTCCTTTTCCCATTGAATTGCAATTCATATCCCATTGAATTGCAATTCATATGGGGAGGGTATGAATTGCAATTCAACAAAATGAGGAATTGCAATTCGGTGGAATTGTAATTCCCTCCAACCAAACACTGTAATTTGTGTGACCTGAAGAATTAGACTATAATTGAATTGCACTACATCCAACCAAACAACTCAAGTCTTTCATTATCCCTGCAAAGGAAAATACAACTTGTACCCTCAACTGTTACTCTCTCTTATAAATCTTTGATGTAGACAACTTTTCTTGGACTCACAAGATGAAAATGTCCTATCTAGTATCTATGCTTGTCACGTCATGTGATATAATTGATGAAGTAGAATTTAAGAATCTCAATACTAGAACTCCCTTGCAAGTCTCTCTCATTTTAAAAAATGGATCCCACTTTCACATAACCTAATTTGCAAGAGTTCTACTACATGTACTTCCAAATTTGCAAGAGTTCTCACTTGTACTCCACGACATGGCAAACAAAGATTGGCTATTTTCATCATGTGGGTCCCAGTGAATATGTCTACATCAAGAATTTGTGAGAGGGAGTAAAAGTTGGGAGTAAGAAATGAGAGTACATATAGTATTTTCCAATTTGCAAATCATTTACTATTCACATTACGTCCCTACAATTCCAATCAACTGTTAAAAGTTGCCCCTGTTTTACCTTACTTTAAAAAATTAATATCTTTTTCTCAATAAATATTTTTTTTTCTTCAACATTATTAATTTATATCAATATATAAATTACATTTAAATATTAAAAATAACAAAACTGAAAATTCAAAAACATAATTTTTTATATAAATTACTTTTAAATATTAAAAATAGCAATACTTAAAATCTAAAAACATAATTTTTAAAAAACAATTTAAAAATTATTCGTACAAGGTATATATAAATAAAGAATCATTTAAAAAAAAATAAAGCACAAAAAAAAACTAATAAATAAAATTAAAAAAACAAAACAAAACAAAACAATAAACAAACAATTTTTTTATTTTTTTTAAAGGTACAAAAGTTGCCGCAGCTTTTGTACTAGATTGCAAATTTGCTTTAAAAAATAGGAATAAGGATCAAATAGGCCATCGAACTGCACACGGTAATGCAATTAGGCCATTGAACCTAAAAAATAATAATAATAAATAAATAAATAAATAAATTAAATCCCTACACTAACCAATTTCATGCAATTTGCATATTTTTCAGGTTTCTAGCATGTCACCATTAATTTAAAATATTTTTTTAAATTATTATCTAAAACAAAATTTTTTTTTTTTATAAAAAAAACATAGCATCTCCGGCCATGGCGTCTCTGGTTGGAGATGAAGAAACCTTCTTTGTCTCCAGCCATAGACGAAGAAGGTTTCCTCGTCTCCATGGCCGGCCATGGAGACGAAGAAACTCTTCGTCTCTATGCATCGCTGGTAATGGAGACGAAGAGATTCACGCTTTGTTTTATTATTTTTATTTTTTTTTAGTTTTAAATAATTATTTTCGGAATAACGGTCAAATATGTTATCCAACTACACACCAAAATGTAATTAGGTCACTGAATCAAAAAAATTACAATTAGATCTCTAAACAGTACAAATTCTTACAATTTAACCTAAAATGACTTGTTTACCTCTTACTAAGTTAACCTGTTGGTTCTTTTATTTAAAAATAATTTTTAAAATTTTTAATTAATAATTATCCATTTTTAAAATTTTTAATTTTTAAATTATTGTTTGAGGTGGATGAGCGTTCGGTGTACAGTGTTGACTATTGAGATTTTATGGATAGCTGTGGGCCCACTTTTGGTGGTTAGTTTAATGATTTTTTTTTTTTTTGAGTAAATAATGTGGGCACTGGGTCCCAGTTTGTTAATTTGTTACTAAGGTTAATAATAATTGAAAAATATATTTATATCAACAAATTTAAAAGTATAGAGTTAAAACATGCTCAATGGTTAAAGTTTTTTCATAATTTTTAAAGGGGTGATAGAGTTAAAACATGCTCAATGGTTAAAGTTTTTTCATAATTTTTAAAGTGCCATGTAAAATGGAGGGTAGGTGCGCCTAATGCATACATGCAGCGACAAAGTCTTCTTTTTTAACTTGTAGGGCGGTAGCGAGACTCACACAAAATGTTGATTTGCATTAATAAATTTTCATTCTCTATCTTCTCACATCTCTCCCCCAGGCCACCTAAACTCACAACCTGAAAAACACCTCAAAAATACAGTTGTGGATATGTTCTTGTATTGTATGCATATTAATGACATGATCGAAGACTAATCAGACTTAGACTGAAGCAAAATATGAAAAGCAGGCGCGCTCAAACAGGCGACAAAATCTTTTTTTTTTCCTTTGCAGCGAGGCTCACAACAAAATCAACATTTGCAGTAATAAATTTTCATTCTCTCATGGCCTCTCACATCTCTCATCCACCTAAACCCAAAAACCTTAAAAAAAAAAAAAAATCCCCTCTAAAATGCAATGGTGGATATGCTCTTGTATTGTACACATATTAATGACATGATCAGAGACTAATCGTACTTAGATTGAGTCTAAATTTTGAAGCCTAGAAGCTCGGTTACAAAAATAAACAAAAAGAATGACAAAATAGTCATTTTCACTAAAACTATAGATGTGGCATTCGGATCGGAACTAACATATGTTGTGATCGACTTGAATTTTTAGTGTCGCACTGCCACATCATATAGATACCTCATGCAGCTAGAAGAGTGATTGACACTACACCAAATCAGGCATTTAGCGGCGGTTCCAAACCGCCACTAGTGTGTTTAGCGGCGGTTATTAAACCGTGTCTAAATAGTGTGTTGCGAAGCATTTAGCGGCGGTTTTCAACAATCGCGGGAATTAATGGAAAACTCATTTAGCGGCGGTTTATAACCGCCGTTAATATTTATTTAATATTTACAGTTTTTAATGTGCATTTAGCGGGCCGCTAATATTTTTTTAATATTTATTTTAAATGTTAGCGGCGGTTTACAAACCGCCGCTAATGTTTATTTAATATATATTTTTTTGGTAAATGTTAGCGGCGGTTTCAAAACCGCCGCTAATGTTTATTTAATTTTTTTTTTGTATTTTCTCATATAATAGGGATTTATATATATATATATATATATATATATATATATATATATATATATATATATATATTTGTATTTTCTAATATAATAGGTATTGCTACTAAACTTATAATAATTGTCATTAAATTACTTTTTGTTGTAAACATCTACTTTCATATGTGCATTGCAAACACCAAAAAAAAAAAAAAAACATTTAATTTAGAAGAAATTCAAATGTAACTTGTATTGCCAAATACTAATGTTTAACAATATTCAAGAAAGTTTACATATTAAAAGAAAATCAATTCTACATCCAAGCTCATTGGTGGCAATTTTATCATCAGAAGAGAGCTCATTCATCTCCTCTGTAGTGATGGTTTCTCATGTGACTCTTCCTTGAGACCTCTTTGCTCCCGCTCTTTCTTTACCCTTCTAAATTCCATATCCTTCTCTTCCAGCTTCTCTTGCAACATAAACACCTGCAACCATATTTAAACAAATTTGTAAATTTGTTATGTAGCAATGATTTAGAACTCAGCCACATTCTTGAAATATCAGGGAAAATGAATTAGAAGACAAATCTCCAGTGTTTCAAGTCAAGCAAGATAATGGCATGATTCAACTTCTTTCACTAATTTGTTGATTGTAAGAGAAATGATTAGTTTATGATGTCACTGCTCTGAATAACAGTCTCATAAACTCACCAAGTGACTACTAAGCTAAAGTCATTGCAAAAAATGGGCAAATTATACTTGAATCATGGTCCACATTGCAAGGTGGACCACTGATCACATCACAGTAAAAAAATAAAATATTAAAAAAAAAATCGCCTCAAGTATAAGCAGGAGGCATTACTATGTTAGGCATGAAAAGTTCCCCTATGCCAGTGCTTCTATAGTTACATAAAAACAGAAATAATACATAATTGAAGAGGGGGAATTACCATTTCATTTGATATTTCAACATTATTAGTCAGTCCCTCTATTTGTTTGCATAATCCTGCAACTGATAACAGAAGACAATATAGTAGTTTATTCAATATGAAGGTTTCGTGCAAAAGGAAATTGACATTTTACATCATCACTAGACTATGAATATCATTTCTCACCCTCGATGAGAATTAATAGTCTTGACTTTTCCTTGTAGTATTTTTCTTTCCTCTGAAAGCAAACAAACTACTACAACTTGCTTCTCCAGGAGAGCCCCTGCAAACGATGTTAAGACCTGTAGCATGAAAGTATGAAGAAAAGATCAGAATTTACAGTAATTGCTCATATACACCCACTGCAAAACACAATCTGGATTTCAATTTTGAGTTGTTTTATTACTTGTCATAGACAATTATTTAACTTGTAAACCTGCCATTCATATGGTGGTCCATAGTTGCATCCTTTACTATTTCGATGCTCAAATTTCAAAGCTACCTGTGCAGCACTAGAACACCAAAACATAAGATGTTTGCATTGAACACACACGAGAGAAATCCAATTTATTAGTAAGGGTGACGTCCCTCGTGTTCTTTCAATTGCATTACCACCAGAAATTCAGCGACCAACATAGACTTGTCCAAAGCCTCCTTTGCCAAGAAATGAAATAAAATACCAAAGCAGAAAACAAGAGATTCAATATTAGGCTCAGTATGGGTGACGTCCCTCGTGTTCATTTCATCGTCTTAACTTAACAAGCAGGAAAAAACCTGGAATTATTTCTATCTTACATTTCTAAGATTGTCAAAACAGGCAATTCCATGTTTCAAATAATGCCGATTGGGTATACTTAAAGAGTTATGCCAATATAACAAAGCACAGAAACTGGCATAAAACTTACCAGGAAAGAAGATGAAAAGGTGAATAAGCAGTGCCAAGAATGCTGTCCAAAAGCCATACTCACCCCTGCAAATCAATGTTCAATTTGTTTATTGAAGCTTGGAATTTAATAGCATACACTCACCATGACCATAAACCACAAAAATTAAGGAGAGATGCTTACTTGATTCATGAGACGAGAGTTAAAGGGGTTTGCAAAGAAAACAAAGGAACAAGAAAAGATTTTTGAATAGAAGTTCTCTTGGAAAGCATCAAAACCCTAAGGAAGAGAATCGAAGAATTGTGAGAATAAAACATGCAAGTCTTGACACGCATACTAAACATTATTGACCTAAAAATTAGCATCAATGTCATAGTAATCATGTGAAAATTCAGAGTAAAAGGGAGGAAAATAAGGGAAGACCAGAGACTGTGCTATACTTTTAGTGCCAAACATTTACAAATAAGGAAGGATGCACAGTAAAAATAATAACAACGAAAACAGTGAAAGATATTTACTTACACAGAGGAGACATTGCAGAGCCAATGGAGTAACAAACCACTCCACTTCTCAGTCTCTTCTTCATCCCTCCCTTGAGATCAAGGGAAACACTGAAACAGAAGCATATCAAATAGAAAAAAGAAAAAAAATTCAAGGTTGAGAGAAATTGTATTTGAGGCCTTTCTATAGAAGATAGCAACTCACAGGAGTTTCAAATGTACCTTTAAAAGTATAGTATAGTCTAGGTTTTTTAGTACTATTAGATCTCCATAATAAATATCCGGAATATGTTCAACCTCGTACACCATAAATTTTATTTAATACTAACAAATATCCAAACTACTGAGATTGTGATGTACCATCAAATAGAAGTATAGAATGTTCTATAGGAAATTAAAGTGGAATAGCATTGGCAGCATTTGGGAAAGTCATATCTAAGAATCTTGCTGCAGCCCTACCACATGAATGAATTAACAATTGCATATCAAATCATAACAAAAATGCTAAAAAGAATCGTGTTGCACCAAATTTATGACAATACCTGATAATTCTTATTTTAAGCTTCTTCTTTTTTTAATAATTAAATGTGTTGTACAGTGTCATGTTTAGAAAAGTAAAAAGGAAACAATATACCTGAAGAATGATCTCTGGTGTCAAGTTAAAGGTAATCATATTTGGCTGAATAAACAACAAAGATAAGTAGTGTCGCAAACTCTGCATAAGAATATGAAAGGACAGACAAAACAGGTAAGAATAACATATTTTTCATTAGCCTTAGAACTAACCTTCTCCACCCAGGAGTCCTTATACTCTACAATCAATGGATTTTGCATTTTCAAAATCAGTGTCATCTATAGAGGAAAGATCTGATACTGATAAGCAGAGCAAAATGCTGAATGTAGTAGAACATTACGGAATTACAGAATTATCAGCGGTAAATGAAAAGAAAACTAAAATTTCAAATTAATTAACAAAATTCAAGCAAGGAGTACCTAAAAGTAGGGCAAAGATCCAAATTGAAAATGAGAAGAACCTTTAAAAAACACACATTTTGGCGTTCAACTAGGAAGCGACGGTCCAAGGAGGAAGAGAAATAGCAAGCCATGATGAACTTAGATAGCAGATTTGATTCGCAGAGAAAAAGGAAAAGCTGAAAGTGGAAAAGAAAAAAAAAAGGGAGAAATTACCGGAAAATCAACCCCCGTCATAAACCTGTTCCAGTACTAGTGCTCCTTCCAACCATATATAACCGGGCGGAGGGTGCGAGGCGAGAGATGAGTGGAGAAGCCGAAAGTCGAAAATGAGAAGCGGAGACGGGAGAGTCGAAGACGACGGAGGGGCAGCGAAAATTGCAGAGGCAGAGAGGATCGACTATGAACTAGGGTTAGAAATTTTTGATTACTAAATTTGTAGTGATTTAACATAGGAGGGAGGATATATACATCAGACAGGGAGAATTTTAAAAGTTGCCCCTTATTTTTAGTGGCGGTTTATATAACCGTCGCTAAATACTTATTTAGCGGCGGTTACAACAAACCGCCTCTAATATTATGTTGCTAAATGACTAGTTTTTTGTAGTGTGATATGATTTCTTAAAATTAGTATAATTCTTGAATCTCGACCACACTAATTAATGCTATCAAGAAATGTAATAAGTATATCACATTTGAAAAATCTTCTACGACAGAATTAATCGAAAGAATTTTGGCAATAATAAAACTCTTGGATTTCAGGTACAAGAATAATGTTTCACTCATTTAACCACCCTTATAAGTCAAACTTTTGACTAAATGATGGTAGAGTAGGTTTAGCTTGTTGGGTTGACCCACCCTACTACATAATAAGGTATGGGGCAAGCGGGTGATTTAGGCGTCCACTTGCCAATATTAAGTCATAATTAAAACAAATTATTTTATATTTGAATTAACCTTTGAAGTTTTTAAATTTTGTAATAATCCCGTATCGAATTATTTGGACTTATTATTGACTATATAAAATTTTTGGATTATATTAAGATGTTGATGTCCGTTGGCCCGTTAGTTCCTAGCCGGTAGATTTGCAGGAACAATATAATATAAAATAGAGAGTGCAGAGATATAAAAGTAGAGAGAAAATAAAGACTCCAAGAATCAGCCATCTTATTATTGGGAATAACTTTATATAATACAAAGGAATAACAGTTACAAAGCAATACACTAATGGCTAATCAATGGTATTAAAGAGTAATAATGTCCATTAATATTTTGTAACACTCACCATATTCATGCCTCGTTAAAAACTCACTAGAAAAATCATGTGGAAAAAATCTATGTGAGAAAAGAGTACACGACATATGGGTAATGCATGTGTCGCTTCGGTTGCCTCATTAAAAACCTTTCACTGAGAAACATGGTTGCAGTAGGCGCTAGGTGCTAGTCGGACGGCCAGGCAGCGCCTAGCGCCTAGGCGGGCACCAAAAAATTTTAAAAAAAATAGTAACAGACTTGTAGTTTGACAATTTTAATGAGGTTGTTTTCAACATTCAATCAAATAATACATACAAATAAATGAAATAATGATAATTTATAAGTCATAGCGTCATAATAATATTAAAATCAATAATTAATGAAAGACGACATCGGACGGAATCGGTCAAAATCGAACAAAATCAGACGAAATCGGTCGATTCGGCCAAGTTGGCGGCCGGCCGAGTTTTGGCAGCCTTTAGGCCAAAACGGCAAGGCTTGGTGCCGCCTAGCGCTTAGGCGCCTAGGCGGCCGAGTTTTGCAACCCTGCTGAGAAAACCCTGTGGGGAAAAAACTCAGTAAGGGAAAAAGAGTACAACTGTAAACCTTCTGGGTTTAGGTATAAATCATAATAATGTATCTTGATCATCTGGATCAAAGTGAATGAGTTAATCTTCTGGACTAATAATTTCATTATATTTAAGGTGTTATTGCTCCCCCTGAAGACAACAGCCTTCCTAATCTACGCATACCAATTTTATATACATACTTTTCAAAAGTAAATGTAGGTAAGGACTTAGTGAATAAATCTGCCAGATTTTCACTTGATTGGATCTTTTGGACTCGTATTTCACCACTCTTCTGGAGTTCATGTGGATAAAAGAATTTTGGTGCAATATGTTTGGTGAGATTACCTTTAACATATCCATTACTTAGTTGTGCAACACATGTTGCATTGTCCTCATACAGGACAGTGGGGATCTTTCCATTATTCATTATTCCACACGAGTCTTGAATATTGTGTATTAATGACCTCAACCATACACATTCTTTAGAGGTCTCGTATAAAGCAATAATCTCAGAGTGGTTTGACGAGGTAGCTACTAATGTTTGTTTAACTGATTTCCATGAGATAGCAGTACCTCATGAAAGAAACACATATCCAGTCTGAGATCTAGCATTATGCGGATCAGACATAAAACCAGCATATGCATATCTCACTAATGTGGTGTCTTGGTCTCTTTTAAATAGAAGCCCAAGATCCTTTGTACCTTGTAAATATATGAGGATATGTTTTATGCCATACCAATGCATTCTGGTTGGAGCAGCACTAAATCGAGCTAGCATGTTTACTGAAAATGCAATATCAGGTCTAGTGCAGTTGTCGAGATATAAAAGTGCTCCAATGGCACTTAAGTAAGGGACTTCTGGTCCTAGAATATCCTCATTATCATCTTTAGGTCTGTACGGGTCCTTATCAACTTCAAGCGATCGGACTACCATTGGAGTACTAAGTGGATGAGATTTATCCATGTAAAATTTTTCCAATAACTTGTCTGTTTATTTGGATTGGTGTATGAATATCCCTTCAAGGAGGTGCTCGATCTGCAGGCCGAGACAGAACTTGTTTTTACCCAAGTCTTTCATTTTGAGTTCTTCTTTTAAACACAAGCTTGCCTTTTTGACATCCTTGCGTGTCCCTATGGTGTTTATATCATCTACATAGATGGATATAATACAAAAACCATCAGTTGATTTCTTTGTAAATATGCAAGGACTAATATCTTTATTTTCATATCCTTGTTTTAAGAGGAATTCACTCAATCGACAATACCACATTATAATACTAAGAGCATCGTCATTATGCATAGATTTTGAGTAATTTTTGCATGTGTGACTAGAAAAAAAAAAGACGTGAGGGAATTAAAAAAAATCAAAAAATAAAATCTGAAAAGCAAAATTTAACAAAAAATTGCAGTTTAACGTGCCCAATGAGTGCCTATAGTGCACATGCTCTACTGGGCGCTTCAGTGAATCACACGATTGGGAAGCACTATTTCTTTGTTTTGGTGAGCACACTTTGGAGACAAAAACCAACCCTTCGTGCTGCAACAACTTAAAACATTCTTAGCTCTCTCATTCTTCTCTCTTCCACTTCAGCTA